ATTGGTCTTTTCAATATCTAAATACTTATTTGAGTACTCATCACCATTTTATTAAATATTAAAAATTAATAATAAGGTGTCCTCTTAATTCAGTTTAAAGAAATACCGAATACAGTAAAATTGCTAGGTCTCAATGATTTTCAACGGCGTAATCAAAGTCAATTTATTGTCAATGCTGGCAGGGGCCTTGTACCTATCGAACCTCGCAGGGAGCGCAGGGGTTACATAATTCGACATGGACGTAAACAAAACCGATATTATAGACACACATAGAGATAAAACTACAAATATTTTATAAAATGAAACTCGCCGTTTAGACGCACTAATTATATATCTTCAATCCAGACTACCCTGGTGTCATTACGAAACCATCAGCCCATCAGTGATGGAAGTATTTGTAGATTTAGTGTAATTTGATTCATATATACATATGAACAGAATGATATAAGTATGGAAATTAAATATTTAAAATTTCCAAATAACTAATTACTCAATTATTTTCTACTTAAATTTTACTGACCAATTAAGGTATGTGTATAGACATGCATCCATCAATCAGCACACGACGCAGCCCAAATATTCGAATATCAATATAAGTTATTGCTAAACTTCCGACAGATTATTTCACGTATTTATCTATTTTATTTGTATATTTATTTTGTTTTTAATTTACAAACTTTATTATGCATATGACTATTTTTTTTATATATAAACATTTCAGCACTCACATATTCTTAAAATAGCCTGCACATAGCCATCGATCATTTTCTTACATAGCCAGCAAAACGCAAGTTCAACGCACATTCAACACTAAAGTTAAAACGCACAACAAACGATCAACGCAACGCAAACGGAACGCAAACGCAACGCAAACGGAACGCAAACGCAACGTAAACGCAACGCACTTTTGGTAAAGAAAAACGGTCCAGGGTCTGTAGGACACAGTGAGGTCAAAGTGACCTTCTTGCACTCTTCACTCTGCCATCCAAAGATGTCCTTGTACACCAAATCTGGTTATATGTCCCTGACAAACTCCCTTCGAGAATCCTTCGGGGACTGACAAATGATACAACAATGTACTTTTTTTTCAGTTCATGAACATCTACATGTTTGCCTAAATTGCCAAGCCCAATGCCCAGGCTAGTAAAAAATGTCAATGTTTACTTTGAAACATAAGTTGGGCTTGTATTTGTTTTTTCGAAACAACCTTCAAACTCTAGTTCACTACAACAAGCTACAAGATACAAGAAACTTTATTCAACGTCGCATACAGGTAAACAAGGAACATTAGCTCTTGAGAGCTTTTATTGCGAAAAACATATGTAAAAATAACAATAACATATTATATTACAAGTACAGGGAGATAATCACATATATTAATAATAAAACAGTAATAATCATCACAGAAAAAGAAAGTATCCATATCCCACTAATTACTATGTTGTATATCTCGGCAATGTATGACCCTTGAACGGACTTGCAAGAGACCTTGGGAACACTTTGGTAGTTGTCTATGGATTGCCAGTAAGCGGTTTTCCTTATAGGACACTAATTTCAACCATTTCAATGTTATATGGTCTCCTGCTGGAGTGACAGGACCCTAGGAGCAATCATGGTTAGTACGAGTGTGTTAATCTTTTCATAACCTGCAAAGAGCATGGTAATTACTAAGTACACACCGACAAACAATAAAGAACTGATGATGTTACAACATCTCTCATTACTGCTCAAAGATGATTCTAAATCAGTATTAAGTAGTTATGAAAGATGATTCTAAATCAATATTTTAAAAGTAATTATATTTTCCCATTTTGTAACTCTAAACTAGCATTCAATTTCTCAATATCCTAATTTTGGAGAAGCAATGGCTGCAATATCCATTCCTTTTGAATAACTAAATGATAAAACAATTTGATCATTTACATTTTAATGTAAGAAAGCATTATATCGTGAACATATTTTGAACCTAAAGCATGATACCACTGTACCAGTATCTTCATCCACAAGAATTTCTTCAAATTATTTTTTAGAACATTGATTCACAAAAAATGTAGAAAAAGTGCAGCTAAACACCCAGGGGATTGAGTGTAGGGGCAAAAAAGGGGTTAATATTGCCATATTGCTTTGAATATCTTCTCATGTAAAACTATGAGAAGGATAATGGGTAGCTTCCATATTTAGTTAAAACATATTTTATTGTACAAAAATACAAATGGATCGGACAGCAAGTTATTGCAACTTAATAGAGTCCTCTCCTCAATACATATTGTAAAAATAATGTTTTTGGGGAAAGGGAAAAAGATAGGTTGAGGAGGGAAATGGGGGGTGGGAGGGGTGGGGGTGATGGAGGGGAGGGGTGTCACCTAGAAAAGTAAACGTGTAAACTGAGAAATCGATCCGCATTTGAATAAAATATAAATTATACAGATTTCATGACATGTATCCTGGTAGAGTAATTTCAAAATGAACAGAATCAATGTAACAAATCAATCAGGCAAAATAATGAAAAACAATTTCATAAGCACATATAACAACTTACACATAAATAAAAATAGAAAAGAAATTATAACTATCAAAACCTATTGCTGGATTTGATGTAATGATGCACATGTCTAAAGATACTTATGTTGTTTTCTACCGAAAGTTGACTATTTCCAAACAAAAGTAGTTCTAAATTAAAATCAACATGCAAGGCATTCAAATTTAGGAGCAGGGTTTGTCTTTCGTTGTTAAAAAGTAAGCACTGACAAAAACAGTGAAAGGCATTTTCACAGGGATGGCCACAATAACAAACTGGACTATCAACCAGATTTACTCTAAAAAGATCATATTTAAGTCGACTACACTGATGTCTAAGTTTAGTGTGCAAAATGTTCAATTTACGTTCACCGAAACCTAAGTATATTGGTGAAGGAGATTGTACATTTGAAGTTAACGAATTTTTAAAAGAATGTAATGAGGGCATGATCGTACTGAAAGGTCCAATGAATTCCAACCGCGAAGAGTTGAAGGTATAAAAGATGAATTTGTTAGAGAAAGCCTGAAAGGACGAATTCTATAATCATCATTGTTTCTAAGGGTACAACGGTTATTTTCAGCAACGGAAGATGGCAATAGAGATTTTAAATAGTCTGGAGTTAATTTGTTGTGCATTTTATACAAAAGTCGATTTTTCTGCGTTTTCTTGTATTCGAAAGAGTTTCTACTCCAGTTTCAAAAAGTAAGTCTTCAATTCGGGCATATGAAGGAAGACCAGTTATAATACGAGACGCTTCTCTTTGGGCTTTCTCTAACAGTTCTGTTTCATAAGTTGTACAACCATCCCACAATTCATAAGCATATTCTAAAACTGGTAAAATAAATGATTTATAAATCTTTAAAAGATTATCACGATTTAAGAAGTATTTTAGTCTGCGTAAGACGTTGACTTTTTTTATAACTGAAGTATATATTGCACAAATATGATACCCCCATTTTGCACTTGAATTAAAAATGACACCTAAATGTTTATGATGATCAGTAAAACTTAAAAAATCGCCATTTAATTCTAATTGTAAATCTTCCTCAATTTCAACCAAGTTTGAAACAAAAATTACCTCAGTTTTGTCTGGATTGAATGTTACTAACCAAGTTTGGGACCATGCATTAAGAGAGTCGAGATCTCTATTCATAACCGTTCAAAAAGAACCCAGAAAAACTCCACAAGGCTGAGTGGCCTTCTAACATAGGAGCAATTTGATCGAAGTGGTTCAGTGTTTTAAATTCTAAGACTGAGTGATTTAACTGACTTCTTCTTTGGATGTTGAACAGTTATTTAAAGTATATATATATATATACACTAACATCCCCTTTATTTTGTTTTGGGTATATATAACTGTAGCTAAAGTATTGGTATTTATATATACCTGTCAATAACACCCCCCCCCCCCTTCATTTTGTTTTGGGTATATATAACTGTAGCTAAAGTATTGATTTATATATACCTTAATTTTGTTTTGGATACATAAATTTAGCACATTTGGGCAAGGACAGTTCCAATGTCAATGATCATGCAGCTCAATCAGCTCAGTCTGCTATATATTATATATATGCAATCTGAAGTCCCCTGGGTTCAAATCCTGGTCTAGCGCTGCAGAATTTTACACTTAGAATTTAACTGCTTTTTATTATATTTTGTTCATTTCATTTTTATTATAATGTTTTCATTTAAGTCCCACACGGTATGCTTTTCTTTATAGACTTTATAAGAATCGTTCTTTGTGAAAGAGAGTATCAAATTGTAAATGTGGGGTCCCGGCCGATACCCCAGGGGTTAGGACATATAGGGCTTCAAAGGGAAAATTGACCAATATTTCAAAAATCTTCTTCAGATTCAGGTGAACTGTTCATGGACAGAAAGGTCCCTAGGTGGTTTATCAAAATTGCCCCCATAGTCATCAGGTCATCCTTTGGGAAGGGGTATAGTTTACTATAGTTTATATAGGGAAATGATATTTTTAGGCATGTTTTTAACTCTACAGGAAATAATTCAAATTTGCTTTAAATAATAATGAGATATCAATTTGATGTTATCAGACAGTAAGATCCTGACCCACCCCTTTGTTCGGAGGGGCAGGGCCAATTGGAATATTGGCTGTAAAAGTCTAGAATCCAATACTAGTACTCTTGATGAATGGAAATGTCAATACATGCTTTATCTAAATTGTAAAGTTTTTTACCCAGTGGCGGACACAGGGGTGTTGCCCTAGTTGCCCGTCTGTGTCCCAAAATAATCTGTTTTTTTCAAGGTTTTTGAAGATTTTCCTCTATTTCATATGGGATTTCCTTCTAATATAAACCATCCCTTGAACTATGATTTTCTATAGCTTCCCTTTGCCAGCAGTTTGAATATCTATATATGCCTAAGGGTATTGCCCAAACAAGGAGTCCACTACTTATACTCTAAACAATAGGGGATTCATCCTCTATTGTCTATATATTAATAGGGTCTCCAGTCAGGTCAGTGGTCAAGGCTCACCGGACTAACTCTACCTAACCTTATTGTTCTAATGTCACGGTGTGATGATCACACTGTCAGTTGAGAGAGGATAAAACCATCTGTTGGAATTAGGTATATAGGTCAAGTATTGTTTCAAAGGTAGAGTCCATTTCATGATCGATACACCTGTATTTTCACCTGTGGTTTCATATACACATGATCACAAGACGTGATTTTTTATACCAATTAAAAAACAAATATTTCAAAAACGTCAATAACAACAAAGCACACTCCTTAGGATCACTTTATCAGGTGAATAATAACCAATGTTAGCATAAAAGCCTAGCATGTATATCCTTTTCATTAGGTGTTGCCCTTGCACATATGTATGCGTACAAATTCACAATAAAAGACAAAACAGTTAAATCATAGCTCACATTTATGACAAAATAATTCAATATTGAGTGCCAAAATGCTCCTCTAAACTACATACACATGATACAAGCATCACCATTTTAATTAAAAAACATACATTTTTACCATATTCTTTACAGAATTTGTTAACACTTGCTCCGCTGGGCCATGATAAAATAGAGATACTCTACGTTATAAAATATAACCAGGAATAATACCGCAAACTCAGAAAACTATTCTACGCCTCACTCGATCTGTTTGACCAAGGGGCTAATGTTCGATAAATCTTGCTTTCTACGCTCGGCAGTGCTTGAAATAGTTTAGTAATACACCTTCAGAAGAAAACAATCGCCAAGCTCCACTCGGCGGGGAAATCACAATCGCTTATTCTGCAGTCGGTTCATTGGAAACGTAAAATCAAGTTTCGAATGCAGTAAATGGAAAGTACTTGTCTGATTGGTCAATAATACCAAATAATTGTACCGCGGCGTGTTCAGATAAGATTTTAAAATATGGATGAAATTACGTGAAGGATGAAAGTTGCTAGTTTTAAGTCGGTATTTGTTTTACCTTCTTTACATCTATTCCTTTGATATACATATGAATATTTAGGTATTTTAAATTTCGTCTACTTGCATACCTAACCAGGAAGCAAGATACATATAAAACCTAACCTTTCCTGACATTGTTCGTCGTCTGCTGGATAACCGAACTACTTGGTCAGTACCATTTAAAAGTAGAAAGTAGAAGAAGTACTTGTTAATGAGGGGACGACAAACCAATCAATCAATCCATTACTATATTCATATATTAACTTGAATAAATCGAACAATAAATAACATAAACAATTAATAAATCATTTATTATAGCAAATCGTTGACTCTGGAACACATGCTTGGGACAGCGCCGTCGTTCCCTCTCAGCCACTTGTCCAGACTTCGGTATAATCGTCTGTACTTATTGACGGTATGACTACGCCGGCACAACTCACAGAAAGTTTGCTCTGAGTCTATTGTGTCTTCAGCAACGTAAAACTGCCTCCATCGAAAAAAAGAGGTTGGTGACTTTAACTTATATAAATATAAAGCCATGCTTTCTGTATTTGACGCATCAGCGGTAGATAAATAAGACCCAGGTGGGAGATATAAGGACACATTAGCTCCTGTTCGCGTTACTGGAATAGCATTGAATAAACTTTCATATATTTTCATACTCTTCTCTGTTATATAATCCCGACATAATGAATTTTCAAAAGAAAGATAATATTTATATTTATTCCGTAATTCTTTTGAACACGACTCCCAATTTCCGCTGCAATTCTTTGTTCCACATTTTCCGTAGACATCCACACGAACATATTTGTCTAGTTCTGCAGCATATTCAGGTCGACCACTGGGCACGTGACAGTTCGATACAAACCAAAGTACATCTGATCTTGTTTTCCAGTTCAATAAATCAGCACTCTCCGTTGGAATTGAATTACGCTGTACAGTCCGGAAAATCCCGTATGGACTATAGAAATCGGAGTCCCGTCTATAGGATATTGTCCAGTTGAATAATCCATCCCATAGTTTCATTGAGTGTACGTGGAGTAGGGGTGGTTCCATCGAATGGAAGACCCACGTCTGGTTAATGTATTTTCTGGGTGGATATATAGGGCTATCCATTCCTTGCCATATAACAACATCCGCAGATGAATAATCCCAACCTTCTGTCATGATACATGCGTATTCACAATTTTTAAACACATCCGGACTGATGAATCCTGGTCTGTTAATATAGTGAATTCGCCGAAAGAAATTTTGTCGTGGGCATATCCGCTCGTTTAATGTAAACAACGTTGATAGCAGCAGCAGTAAGAACAACAGCAATAAGACCAACTTCGTTTTTCTGTAAACAAAACAAAATAGCATTTATTAAAGTATGTCAAATGTAATTCACATAAAGGTCCGATCAACTCATTTAAGTGAATGCTGAGTGGTGACGGTTTGAATAATGTCACCTTTATTATTTTACAATGACTGCCCTAATTGGCATTCCAGTTAATTATACTCTGTAGAATCTAAAATCAGACTATAGTACTCCAGCTACAGAGAAAACCGCCGAGACGAGGTTGTCCTTGCCCGTCTCCAAATGGGTTCTTCAAAAATTGCTCATTCTTATTTAGTGAAGTGCATAGACCAACATCAATGCATAGCATGTCACGAACCATTAACAGTTAAACAATTGTTATTATATTGCATTGACATTCAGCAAACTACAGAATTTGTTTATAATAATATAATCGATCTCAAATCTCTCTTCAAAATAGTAAATAACTCTACAATTCTCACCTACATTAAACTGTTGGTCTGTTCACACAGATATCACGCACTATAACAACTTACAATGTACCATTTCAAGTTGACGTTTTTCTTTTACCTGTTCGTTTTTACCCTTACCTTTACGTCACTTCCTTTATTATGTTTTACCAATTTTCTATTGACCCTGATGACCTCCACTGTATTAATGGGCCGTTAACAATTCAATAATAATAATTATCTACATGTCTGTGGTGGAAATGGCCCGCCTGTTACCTAAGGACTCACACAACTAAATCAGCAAATCAGCAAGTGTTTCATACGTTTGTAGTTCCTTTCTGAAATAAGTTCCGGCTAATTACTGGGGCACTGAAGGAGTTTATTAAGGAACTGATGACAGTTTTTTAGATAAATGAAATGTTCAGGTATTTAACTTTTGAAAAATATATACTTTTGATATATTTCCATGTCTGTGTGTGAATTTGCACAGGGGCAAAATGTCTGGGGCCGTTTCTGTTTTGGGTCAACGGTTTTGCTTGTAAACTTCCGGTTGTCAACTTCTTGGCGCTGTGACACTCCAATATGTCACTAAACCTACCAAAAAGTCATTTGGTAGCCTTTGCAAGGTAAGAATCTAGACAGTTGTCACTAGTTTTGAACTTCAAATATTAAAGTTATTAGCTAAAATATTTGGTAATAACATATAGCAAATGCTTTAGTTGTGTGAATCCCTAAGTAAATCCAATGTGATTGTATTTACATAAAATACATGTAATGCAGCTATTATAAATTGATTAACAACTGTATCCGTCCAATTTATAATGAGGATTTTAATATTTCAGATGCAATAATACATGATGGAAAGTTAAGAGCATACATATTTCGTTATTAAAATAGCTATCTGTACACGCTTTCCGAATAGTGCAATGCTGTGTGTGTCATTGGCCCCGGCCTCCAAACTTACGTGCTAGCGTGGTAAATACGGTTAACGTTTGGAGATAGGAAATTGCTCGAACACGACCGCCGCTTACATGTTGTATCTGAAACATAAGACAAAAATAGATTGGTTATTATGTGTTGAGCGAGCTGAATCCTTTTCAAAATGAGTTTTTTTTTCTGATTCATTTTTGAAACAAAACAAACACAAATTTCGAACAGTTTAAAACGTGGGCAGAGCCCCTGATAAGTAGCCGTCTTCAAACGAACATTTAATTGAACAATCATCACTCGGCACGAATAACTATTACCTGGTAGGAACAACTACCCGGCACGAACTACCATTACCCGGCACGAATAACTATCACCCGGCACGAGCAACTATCACCCGGCACGAACTACTATTACCCGGCACTAATTACTATTACCCGGCACAAAATACTATTATCCGGCATGAAAAAACTTGAATAAGCACGAACAACTATCATCCGGCACGAACAACTATTACCCGGCACGAACAACTATCACCCGGCACTATCAACAACTACCTGACACAAACAACTATCACCTTGCACCAACAACCATTACCACCCAATATGCGATATACGCGGCTCAATTTATTAACTATACAAGGTAATTTGTGGTTAGTTTGTATGAGTAAATCAGTTTGATAGAAACACATACAAAAAGGCAGAGACTGGACTGATAAAAAAAAAAAATAATATAAACGATAGATAACTTAGTGACAAAATAAGAAACTTGTTGAAAGTATCGACTGGAGAATGGCAAATAATCAAACTAAAATGCATTAAGTGACAAATATATTTGACTACTCATTGATCACATAAACAAAGTCAAAAAATGATATTTTGATTGTATCATAATAATACATTTTTTGACTATAACAATGTGGAAATATTACAGAATAAAAAAATATGGGGGAAATACAGTGTGCCTTTTCCTGTAGCTTAAAACTAAAATGGTACAATTCAATATTCATCACTTTACCATAATAGCAGGTCGGGGATCGAGAAAAGAATACATTTGCTGTTGCCTACTGCATGTATCGTAAGAGGCGACTACTGTGGGACCCCCCTGAAACTATCCTCAACTGGGAACAAAAAGGTGACAAAAATAAATCTGCTATTAAATATTGCAATATTTGGAATATTTAAAGTGTTGTTTCGCAGCGCCTTCCTTGGCAATACCTTACTTTGGCTTTCATGTTGACTGTTCGCCCAGGTGAGGAAGGCAAAGGATGTCGTACCCATGCCGGGACACACCAAAGTCCTCAAAATGTAATATTCCTTACTTCAAAATAGGAGGCACAATAGTCTAGTGGTAGGACTCCGGGCTCGGGACCGAAGGGATACGGGTTCGTGTCACGGCACGGAACTGTGTTGTATCTTTGAGCAAGACACTTACTCCGCTTGTTCCAGTCAACGCAGCTGTAAATGAGTACGTGGTTGGGCAGTGCTAGAATTGTAGAATACTAGCTGTTAGTGCCGAAATGGCAGTACCGGCTGTATGCTCCCCGGGGGTTGAGAAATAAATTGGCCAGTTGAAAAGGCCCTATAACCACGGATAATAATTTGCGAACCGCTATGAGACGTCCGGCTTGGTTTGTTTATCTTTTACTTCCTATTAACAGCTATGGTCATTTAAGGACGTGCCAGGTTTCGGTGGTGAAGGAAAGCCAGAGTTCTCGGAGAAAAAACAACGACATAAGGTCAGAACCTGGCTACTGTCCCACGTAGGCTTCGAACCCGCGACCTCGTGGTGGAGGGCTAGTGATAGCAGAATGTCAAACGCCTAAACTACTTGGCCACCGCGGCCCCCTTTGAGACGACCTACGAACTAGGTTGTGATAACGTGGTATATAAGAACCTCAAATAAGTATTATTATTAATTATTATTAAATTTCAGCAATAAGGAAAATGGCAACAACTGGTGCATTCCTTGTCATTATAATTTGAACTGGTGGGATTTTATGCTGGGTGCCTTCGGAATGGTGTTTCAGTGTGATAGCACTCGAAGGTCGACATCAGATCCTCGACACGCAAGGAGGCCATTACACCAACATACCCTGACTTCAACACACATACACACAGGCACGCACTTCGTTCAAACATTACGTCAAGTCATCAAATGACCTTAGATGTTAAAAGGACGTTGAACCCTTTAAAGTCGAGCTACTCCTGTCTTTCACTTGTAATATACTTATTGTTTTTAAGTGTTGTTTTTAATCCCTTTCATTATTATATTCTCTTTCCATTCCCCTATCTGTACACTTTCAAATATGTCGTATATTCAATGCAATATAAGTTGAAACCCCTTTTCTTCCCATATCAATTAATTGTACACTATATACCGGACGAACAGCCTTTGAATCAATCAGGTACATGATTGTATTTACAATGCTGACATGAATGATGTTAGAATTGATTTCTGCGGTAAATATCATTCAGATATATTTTCTGCAGTAGGTTTTAGTAAACATGCTCAATGGTTTTCTTCTGTGTCTTCTACCAATTGAACATTGAACAAAATAGAATTACTGCCCTTATTTCAACACTTTGCGTGTCGGGTGTCTACTTTTTCTCATTGTTCTACTTTCTCCCTAGGTACCCGTCTCCACATCACCTTAGGTATGGCGAGGACGGCAAACTGCTACAAAGAACACGCAAGTAATATATGCGTATGGAGGTAAGACTACACTGTATTCAAATATCACTGGAAAATAAACATAAAATATTGATGCAGTATCTCACACATTCTAAATAAAACAAACCGAGACCAATAATAGAGCCCCTTCTATGACCATGTGTCTATGTTTACTGTGACCTGAACCAATTTACATTACTACAGCAGTGTCTCCGTCTGATGTCAGCGTTATATAACATCGGCCGTGTTACATGATAGTTTTATGTAAGTCCGTGTGTATAAATAGAGGTCATCGGTCTCATCAATATTGATCAACAAACATCGTGTTAGGAATAATTGGTTGTCTGTTAATTGTTTTACCTTCACCACACCACCGACGTGGTTAGGTAGCAGGTGTAGTATTGATTGGGAAAATGCTACAATAACAGTTATTTAAATTATTTATATTAATGTGAATCTGATAATACTGATCACATGACATGAAAATAAAACATCATGAACCCCCTCCTCCTATTCTTTATCTTCACTAGTAATGTTGTGTCCACCTTTTGCCTTCGTGAAACATGATTATATCGGGAAACAAAGGACCGCGTTTCCCTACCTAGGGCAATACATATAAATAGCAGGATCTAATATCATATAGATATATGTAGCACCAACCGGCCCTAGTGAAACATGGACAAAATTACGCCCGTGAACTACTACTGGTCAACATGTCTACTGTCCACAATATATGAGAAAGTAAACGTGCAGACAATGCTGACCAATACCATAGACATTCTGTTGCTCTATAAGAAATACACACAATATATATATATATATACCTGTTGCAGGACAAGAAAACAATATTGAGGGTTTGAGAAGGTTTAGGTTGAAATTGACAGTCTGGTCAGTCATGAATTCAAAATACGTGTATCTTGAAAACTACTCAATTTGATTTTATAAGCAGGCGAAGCCATTTTATTCGGCTGCTACTCATCTCGCCAAACAACACGTATCAAACTACATCTGTAAGAGGGTTTTAGCAACCGATAAAGATAAGACGACAGTTGATGTTTTTTTCAAATATTGGTAATTTGAGGGCGATGAATTAGAGCTATTCGATGGGTTTTATTATCTTGGTGTTTTATTATATCGTATCGACATTTATATCGAAGGCGACATTTTCTTCGTTTAAAATATCCATCTAACGTGGGTATTTTATACAACTTTTCGACAAGCAAGTATTTATGAAATTGTTGTTGTTGTCTACAGACAATCATGCGGAAAGTGCGAATTTTGCCAACAAATGAGTTAGGAATTGTTTGTAGCAGATGACAAATTGTAATGAATAAAGTCAACGTCAGTTGATGTTTAATATGTCTACTGTATAAATATGTATTTCTATTTCGAAGTGCATTATTGTTAAGCGTGCGGGCTATCTCTCAACACTTTTAGACGTAGGTTGGGAAGTGTTGTGTAGGTGTGTTGTTGTTAATGTGGTTATTACCATACTGCAACATGTGTATGATCCTATCATTAGCTGTATATATTAAAGTAACTTGAATCCGGGTTCAGTTAGTGTTTATCGCCACTATTGAAAACATAACGTGTTCCTAACGAGTGTTTCTGTGGTGTTATTTCCCGTTTGACAATACCAGATCCTACAATACCTGGAACTGGGCAATACGTGTGGTATTGATTGGCATAAACTACAACAAATAGTGTAGGATCAAATATCTTCCTTATAGCACGAACTGCTCAGGTGTAACGTGGACGAGACTATGCTAGCGTACTGGTACTGATCAATACAGTGTACATCTTCCTGACAAAGTAGAAAACTAGGTTAATGTGTATAAAATGTTGACCAACACTGTGTATCAAAGGGAAAGAGATGAGGAGGGGAGGTGCATTGACAGCTTGTTTGTACGAACCTACAAAATAAATATTCTACATTCGTTGGCGTTATGATTTTCAATTACTATAAATGACTGTTGTTAACCTGATAGTTTAGATAAATTAAAAATGCATAATTTTATGTAAATTCACTGAATGTCCATGTATGCTGACATTACTTTCTACGTGTTATGCTCATTCACCGTAATAGGATGAAAATCAACTCTGCATTATCTGGTTTTAGAGGACAAACATCGAGACAAAATCACATTTCAAGTATAACGATTAGTTTACAGAAATTAAAAAAATAACAAAATAATATGCCTAAACTTGTAAAGAAGTTTACATTATTATTTCGAGATGTTTTGAAAAATAATATATAAGTTCACTGATTGTCTAAGTAAGCTGACTATGCTTGCTACATGTTATGTTCATACATCGTAACAAGCTTTTAGAGGACTAACGTTCAAACGATAATAAATCTTTTTAAGAAAATAATTTCATGTTTGCTTTAAAATTAACAACAAAGACGGGATGTAAATAGGCTAGGTCCTAGTCCCCGTTGACATGTTACAACATTATCTTTATAACTATGCGCGTATCCAACATCATCCACTCCTAGTTAAATATGCACGGATACCCATTTATCTTCGAATTTACCATAATTATTATCATTATGCAAAACGTGAAGACGAATTCCATTAATATTAAGGAAAGAGTTTTTCTTCTGAACGTACAATGTATGCTCCAGGCAAAAAAAAGAAAGTACGTATGACCTTAATAATATTATGTGCATCGCAATTTTGAAATTTCACTTTTTGAATGCTGAGATAAAGTTAACACTTTTAATAAAACATAAAGCCATTTCTTCCCGTTATGAGTGTTCAGTGGTACTTCAAGTCAGTTCTGGCACGTGTGTACAGTGTAGAAGTACACTGTTCGAATAGGGAAATACGCATTAAGAAAGCTATTCGCATGATTTCTCGCTGCACTTTCAGAACATATTACTGCCTTGCAATCGCTTGGTTGTAATACATTCCTTGCTGTTTTAAGACATTGCAATACCCTGTACATACTTGGTGTGTGTTAGATATATGAGTAGGATTTACATACAGGTACATTCCTCACTGTTTTAAGACAATGCAATATCCTTTACATACTCGGTATGTGATTTAGATATATGAGTAGGATGTACATGGCATGAATAATATAGTTCAATACAACATATACCAAATACTTACATATGTAGGAGTAGGTCACGTGGAGAAGTCTGTTCAACATTTTCCGAACAGTTTGTTCCTTATGATCTGTCATGCTTGTGTGGTACAACACCCATACACTGTATGTCTGATCCACTGCTAGCTGGTCTATCGTGATCAGCCATCCTCGATGACTATATATAGATAGGATTAAATCAGGTCAGCATTTGTGCATGACATATTTCGTATAAACTGCCACAAAAATGGGGAGTCTGTGCGCTTCTTTTTGTCCCATTATTATATGTGTTATTTTTCACCCTTTTCGGGGTCAAAAATCGAAGTGCTTCAGTTACACTAAACATGTAAAAAAATATACTAATCATGTATAATTTTCCACTATGTAGCGTAACATTTTCGTACCGGATGTCCTTACTACACTTACACTTACATATCTTCATTTTCGAAGCATTATGACTAACTGGCATCTGATTATGACTGCGCAATCGACATCTGTCCGGCAACCAACGATACGATTCCTTGTATTCAAAACAGCGTTGTAGTGCAGGTTCCAAATGAGGATTGATTTTGGTTACGAAGTCGTTGAACAAATTTCTGTATTACTACAATCAAAAAGTGACCCTGGTAACAGCCTAAAATTAATGACAAGAGAGTACCAAGATATATATATATATAGTATAATAGAATAATATTTTAATGTCAGAAACCCTATTAATTGCTTCTGGTAATTGCCAGGGCTTTGCAGATTTTAAGAAAAGAAATGATGTCTTTGCGTACATTAGAGCAAATATAACGTTAGCGTTGACTGACACCTCGAATACGGGGAGATCTGCGCGCTGACACAGTCAACTTGCATGTGCAGAACAGGTAATTGGAATATAACGATGTTGTTTTCACACCAATAAGTTTCAGAAAAGATTCAATCTGATATACGGATAAATCTTCTACTATTTTTTGCAACAGCCTAATTCGCGAGACATGAAGAACACCAAACAATTGTGCTTTCAGCAATTCTCCTTCGAAAAGAAACGATCGGAATTTATTTGGCTGTTTTGAACCCGTTGATATTTAATTTTAAAACTCAAACTTTTATCATTATCGATTCAATTCGCATGGATGTCATTGTAAATTCCTGCCGGTTAAATAGTATCACGCTACCTTGACTCTTTGCGGTACACGAACTTGCTAACTTGGCCACGTTCCCCGTGTCGTTTTGACACATTCCTACGGTCAAGTTAGAGTTCAGCATGACATTACCCAAGAACGACATTTTAACCACAGAGTGATAAATGCGATGCAATTCTTCGTTATGTTTCCCGATACGTCGTATTTATCAATTCACAACGTAACGTCCTGAAAAGTTGAGCCTACTTTACTCGAGTTTATTTATCCGATTCTATGGCATTATATGACTTAAACTTGCAACTTTTCGTAATTGTTAAATTGGCAATGCAATCAGTGATTATTCAACGAAGTTTAGCAATTCTATGGCTGCGAGCATATTTCAAAACATTTCCAAATCCTCGACAAATTTACGAGAAATGGTCGCGACCAAGGTCTGGTTTTGGATTGTTCTTGAGTATCGTGTACACCCCTTTCTTGACACTTCATTTTCCCCTTAATAGCAATTTATAATACGACAGTTTACCCCTTTGGGAACCTCAAATGTGCCTGATTCATACTCGGAACATCTTTAGGTTATATGTAATTCCCGTGGGAAATTCGGAACGCCTTTAGGTTTTATGATTTTCCTGTTTAAAAAGGAAACCGATATCTGAGTTATCCAAGAGCTTGTAATTAGCGACTGGTATATTCCGACAGAAGCAAGACACTTAACAGCCCAAGACAACAGAGGTCAAAATCTGGCACTGAAACCAAAATGAATAGCCCCCACTGGGGTATCCCCAGGGGTGACTAAAAATATAATATATACTGTTAACAAGATACTCACTTCACATCAGAGCTTGAAAAAAGAATAAGAACAGAATGGGGACATGACTGTAAATTTAGTAATCATAGTTCAAATTCAAAAGGGTAGCAATTTTGTTCAATAATAATTTTATTACACTATTCAACATACTACATGTGACCCAAATGGTAATTTTATTGTCTTAGACTTAACCCATGGGTCAAAGAAGTAATATAGACGGTAAAAAAAATTTCTCTTCTTTTTGCTGATTTTCTTTTCATTTGCTGGTATATTTACAATCATCACCCTTTCATGAATAAGTATTGCTTTCGTCGGGAATCTCTCTTCCTCTCTTCTTGCTCTTATGTTTCTCTTTTCCCTGTCCCTCTTTTTTGGATAAATTTCTGCTTTTTAACCAAACTATCCCCCAATCCCTTAGGGGTTTGTGAACCAAATTTTAGATTAATGAAACAAAAATCTACAATTTATGTGTGAAGGTGAGATACATACATTTTAAATCAAAGCCTTCTTGCAGAACAGAGTTGTACAGAAATATTAATCATGATAAAACTTGAATATGTATGCTTAATTAAGAGAGTATTAATGTAACGGACCGTAGCTGATGTATTCCATCCTCAGACGGTTCCTCATGTTTATGATTTGTCTGGAATTGAAAAAGAAAAAATCTTAATACAAGAAGCTCTTATCGAGACTTGTAACAAATATTCATATTTGCTTCCATAAGTGACAGTAAATAATTGATATATATTTACGAGTGTCCATACAGAATTAAGTCACAGTCATATTGTTTATATTGGAGACGAACAAGTGCAAACAACTTGCGGGAAATTCGAAAGCAATAGGTCACATGATAAAAAAATTGTACTCTGCACCTATAGAAATATTTCTTTTCAACTGATGGGTACTGATTTTAGGGGCAATTAATTGGATTACGCAACTGTCGTATGATATAATCAGCTAAACTTAAGACAGGTAACACCTTTTTAAATATTACAAAAACCTGTTACACAAGACCAAAACGAGACTTGAACGTGATTGAAACTCCAGAAGAGTACATCCTTAAGGATCTGCTTCCATGTGTGTTGTGTATGCGTGCTTGTGTGTGTGTGTGTGTGTACAGAAGGCATGGTATGTTGGCGTATTTGCCTATTGTATTAGCGCGGGGCTGATTATTTTTTTCCTGTTTGCCACCAAACGGTTTAAAATACGTCATCGTTTGCTGAGCATTATTTGATAGATTAACAAAGCCCTTGAATCAACCATTAATCCTTCCACATACGTATTATATTGGGCAAAGAAGCTATAACAACCGTGAAGACAATATGAGGTTGTCAAATTTTCGGAGCAATCCGCTTCTTTATCGAGACAGAGCAAAACACAGAACACTATTATTACATATAAAACAATAATATTTCTATTTTGTTTTTTATGTAATATAGCAATAATAAGAAAAGATGTTTTCAGTTAAAATTGTTTTTCATGTCAACGTATATATCGGAGAGTTAGATCCGATCTTGATTTTCTGTCAAAAACATAGTAAATTTTAATAAAAGCGTATCAAAATAGTAAAATAACCTTACCCCTACCCCGTTCCTATTTCTTGAGAATTGGTTAAGATACTTGCAAAAAAATGATTTGGTTTGAGTTTCCAGAGAGTACATAAGCTTTCGATCAACAATGCTAATTGTTTCGGTCATTTTTAGTATTTGCAGCTTAAGTTTTACACAATACATCACAATTGTGAAGAATGTTTCAAAATTTTAAATGTAATTTTGCTAAAACAATATCATTTGTGATTTTAGTCTTCCGCTCTACCTCCTGGTATCTCGCAAAAGTATCCAAGCTGACCTTAATTTTATCATAATGGTATATAACCCAGATTTATTTTTATGCAAAAAATAAAACCTACCGGTGAAAGCCACAATGAGGACCAAACTTGCTCCTCTGTAGTAATAGATCCAGTATGCCAAAAACGCATTACACTGCACCATACTACTATTTCGTCCAGTCGGTGACGCTAACGGCCAAAATGGTGGATATAAAAATTGTTCTAAACTACTATTGAAACATAAAGGAAGTGCATTAAAACCTTTAATCTTGGGAATTTAAAAAAATAGCTTAGTACTGGTTAAACTTAGATTCAAAATAATAACACAAAAGATTAAACAAGTTTCCGTGACATACTTCAGACGAGTGAAGTGTTTCAGATACCAACGGTTGTTTGGGAGTGTTTCATGATTGTTAAGTTTATATTCGTGACCAGTTGCAATTTGTAAACACTATTGCCATTCTTTGTTGGGATGATTTTGGACAACACGGGATCATATTTCAAAGTCATAATTGAAGTAGCTCGATTATATCTCCTCTGGTGCCCTTGTGTGACAAAGAAAGGGACTTGAAGCGTGTGAATATGTTGCGGTAGGACAAGTCTGCCATACCGGTGTTAATTAAGTAGTTCTTCTCTCGACATTTGAAACACCTTTTGAATATTTTATCAGATACAAGCCCTACACTTGGGTGGTGAACATGTTTTAAAAGATTCTTTCAAGTTCCGTCCATAAAGCTTTAAATGCGTAACCATCCATCCATGAACTATTTCGCATGATCACACACATAATGGAAGTAGCCTCAGTAATATGTTCCGGCTATGTAGAAAATGGCAATTTTATTTCAAAAGTTTCTATAGACGGAAGCTAGGTAGCCACTCATTATCACTATGTCACCACTCCTATATTTATGGGAGCAATAGTAATTCCGAATTTGCAATATATTCAATGTATTAGAAATTAACAAAAAAAACTAGAAACTGTAACTGAAATGGATATTCTATATTGAGAAGCCAATCAAACATAAGATTAAATATTAGCAATGTAATAATATAAAACAGTGATATATTTACAATATACCATCAAATTAAAACATACAACTTTAGTCGACCACATTAGTCATTCTACCAACCCTGTATAACGCGTCACTCTTAAATCTATTTTTCATTTCAAATATATTTTATTGATCAAACAAAAGGATTGAGCAACAGGCTTTGCCTATATAAGCTCTCTCCATGGCTTCCAGCATACTTTTGATATTTGAATACATTGAATACAATATTTACATAAATACATTTTATTTTATTTCAACTCATCTCATGACTCATGGATACATTTATTGCTAGGTAATATACATTTAATTAGGCTGGCTTAATGTTTTCATGTTTCTACAGAAAAAAAAGAAAAAAAAAATCCTT